GCGTCTGGAAGCACAGAATGAAGGCCCTTGCTGGAATTCGGAGAAAGAAAGCAGTTATTGCCTGCTGGGATATCAGCTGAGTGGAAGACTGTGAGGAGCAGCAAGAGGACAGGTCAGGACATGGGGTTGAGTTGAGCTCCTCAACAGAAAACAGAAGGATCCTTTGTGATTTGTTTGTATGGAGTTGTTGATCAATTGGAGGGGGCAAATAGAGAGATGCCTGATTTGCTAGCATTGAGAGACCCTTTTTCACTTTGGCAATGATAGTGATAGTTTGTTCTTTGGTTTTTAGTCTGTGGAAGAAAACCTCATTCAGCAGCCAAAGATTGACCAGAGACTTTGCAATTAGCAAAAAGATTAAGCCAGATGAGGCCAGGCCAAAGCATTGCACGCAGAAGACGGGGACACCCTTATCCTCTCAATTTGGAATTTGACTTCCAAATTTCTCTGGCTTCTATGGGTGCAAAGAAATAGTAATGCTAGACGTCTCAAGCTCTAGGCCTCCTCAGTGTTTAAAATTCCTTGGACAGATTGTCAATAGAGCTCGTGCAAAATGAATGTGTACTGGTTCCTGGGGAATCAAAGCCTTGCTGATTCCTATCCTGATGCCAACAACATGCTGCCACATAAGGCGATTGCATTAATCCATCATTGGTTGGTGGGTACGTGAAAGGCTCTAGACTTGACTGAACATGCCTTTGAGAGTCTGACCATACGCCACCAACAATCCAACCTACTCCAGATCTGATTTCCCCCTTAATCCTTGGAAGCAGCCCTTTTCTCTGCCTCTCTCCAGCAAAATTAGGAGCCTTGGTAGTACAGTGGTCTAAGGCACCCTGTTATTAAGACCAGCTGCCTGCAATTACTGCAGGTTCAAATCTCGCCAAGGCTCAAGGTTGACTCAGCCTTCCATCCTTTCTAAGGTAGGTAAATTGAGGACCCAGTTTGTGGGGGCAATAAGCTGACTTTGTATAAATATACAAAAGGATGAAGGCTATTGCTTAGCGCATTGTAAGCTGCCCTGAGTCTCCGGAGAAGGGCGGCATATAAATCAAATTAAAAAAAACAAAAAAACAAAAAACATGGTCTTCCCTTCCACATTTAACAATTTCCAAACAACCCAAATGATTCTTCTATCACTGGCTTCAGGAAGCTGAAAAATCTGGGAGATTTGGCTGAAACAGGGAGATGGACTGGACATTTCTACCGGAGAGAGGAGGGGAAGGGCTTGAAGTCAAACAGGAGTCAACCTAGGTATGGAAGAGGATTTGGGAAGGTCTTCCTTCATCTAGGGTGGCCTGAGTTACATGGCCTTTCCTGCTACTGCAGATACTTCCCGTAGATTCTGTGCTACATCTGCCCTGGTGGCAACTGAGGCCTCCCTCATTTGCAAGAGAGCGAGCTTGAAAAGGTGTCAAGGTCAGCAAGAAGCTGCAGTTCCTTGGCGGGCACCCAGCACAGCCGCCCCCACAGTGGGAAGCAGACATGGGGAGAGCTATGCCAATCTACGTCCTGCTGAATGCCCCCTTTGTCTGCCTCAGAGTAGGGGGGCAGAGATAGCGCCATCCGTGATAAGAGTCCAGAAGCTGAGAGATTCTGACTTAAGGAGTTCAGGGTTAGTCAGCTTAATTCTCGAGGCCTCCCGGAGCTTTGACCCAAAAGGGTAGGAAAGAAAGGCAGCCCCCATTCTTAGCCCAACACACCAAGGCACCCATGTACGCTCCGCTCCAGGCTCATCCTCACCCACATGAATGCATAGGAAAGAATGCTGTCTCAAAAGGCAGAGAAACACACAACCCAGCAGGAGAAAAGCGATATAGGTTTTTTTAGTGCCTTCTAAGGTAAGAGGGCAGGAAAATACACAAAGGACTGAAAGAAGGTCAAAGCAAGTCAGAATGTTAAGGGGGAAAAAAAAGAGACAATAGTAAATATAGGCAGATGGGAAGGTAACACTTTTGGAGCAGAAGCTGGTAACCTGTCACAGAATGTTCTGTTTCCTGACTCCAGACACATCAAATTTTAGGGCTCATGGCAATTGCTTCACTGAGCTCACAGGCACACAAAGTTCCCCTCAAAGAGCCCTCGAGATCTTTGCCCGTTTTAGTTCTCTTCCACATACAAACATACCCCATACACACACACTCCAGCATGTCAACCGGCATCCCTTACTTACAACAGCTGCAGGCACTGGGCACACACCTGTTCCTTGAGTGGGAAAGCAGGTTTTCCCTTCACCTGGAAGGTGCTTGGTGGTGCTGCTGCCTTTCTACAGGCTGCTCTGCTCGGCACCAGGTGATACAGTGGCGAACCCAACCCACCACCCAACGTCACTAACGCCCACACCATCAAAAAACGGTGGGCGGCCTCTGATAATTCATCACATGCAGCAGCAAGTGGGTTTTGAAGCCACAAAGCAGCTGAACACCAGAACTGCGTATCCAACAAGTGCCTGGCACCGAGAGTTAGGACTGAGACACATCCTTCCTTGCTGAGAAAGAGCCTGTGTATTTGGCATCAGCAGACAAAGGGCAACCCCTAAAATCAGAGTCTCTTTCAGGGGCTGAAATTCAACTCTGCCACCCAGACCCAGGGCAATCTGAAAGAGGGAGGAAAGAACAAGAAAGAAAAGGGGGAGGGGAGGGTGTCACTATGTTTGTTATGCAATTTGAGTAGACATGCCCGCTTTGCTGGTAGATAGAAAGCACAGGCACTAATTCCTCACCCATTGCCTTGGGTGAGGGGAGGAGGGGAAAAAAAGAGAATAATAATGCTTGGAATTAGAATCATGTGAAATCCACACTTCTTTGGCATCACTATCGGCCCCTGCTTAACTAGGCAAAAATTTTTGGAGGGAAGGTAGGGTAGCAAATGCCCATTTTGCCCCTTCCCTTTCCCCTTCACACCCCTTTGGAAAGACTAGCAACCAACAAACACCACTGTTAGTGTAATAGCTGTGTAATTATATAGCCGAGTCTGTTTGGGACTTGTTCCTGGTCAATAGCAGACACCCACCTCACCCACCCAAGGCAGATGCACAATTGTTCACCTTAAGAAAACATCACAAACTATATTACACCTGAGTGCCCCGGAACAGACGCTGCCTCTAAGCAACAGCCCAACCCCTCCTGAGTCTGCCTGAAGCAGTTCCCATTCTAATAGCCCCCACTTTATGACATTTTTCCCCAGAGCTATATACAGCCCCCACTTTACTAAAACTTCTTAAACCGGTTGATCCCAGCTGAATGACTGCAGGCACCTGTCTTGGGTTTTAGTTTTGCTCTGGATGGTTGGTTTTGGCATTGATTGGATTTAGTTATTACTACATTTCTTTTGCTTTGGTTGGTGTTGTCAGCTGCCTTTGGTTTTGGGAGAGGGGGGTAGTTTATAAGTACTATAAAATAAATAACCCAAATTTGCTAGGACCGTTAACACTATTGCACTAAGCCACATAAGCCAAAGTTTACCAACCAGAGAAGTTGGGCTCATGCACTAAAGCCAAAGCCAAGCAAATTACTTTCTGGGTCAAGGCAATGTGTGAATCCAGCAGAGTGGCAAGAGGGGAGAAAGAAGGGGAAATGGAAGCAGGACTTCTCTAAATTCAGCAAATGGTGAAATGGGTGTGGCAGTTTTTCCAGATTGCTCACCTATTCTCCCAATTGTTCCCTCCTTGATTGGTATTTTTAAAAATACCTTATGTTTAGGCTTGTGTGGTTTGGCAAGGGAAAGAAAGACCTAGAAGATAAGTTTTTGGACAACTTCATACATCTAATATAAAAATAATGTTTCATAGTATAACAGTAGGTTTGCATGTAAAACAGCTAATGTGCAGAAGAGGGTGCGAAAGCCAAATTGTGACCTGGATTCCAGGACCAGGGTCATCAAGCTAAGGTCAGGTAGGGGACAGCATCTTAAATAATTTATTTTTTATTAAAAAAAAAGTTATAAAGCAAGATTGTCTGTTCAGTGTAGAGATGAATGCAACTTCTTCATGCACCCTGTGAAGAAGCTTTATGATGATTGGGACTTTTCAACGCCAAAGGCTATCTCTGTTCTGGGTTGTGGTGGCCAAACTTTTTTTTTTTTTTTGCTTTTTACAGGCAAAACTGAACTACAGTCAACTACTGTCATTCTTCAACGGGATACTATAATCGCCCTGGCACAGCCACCTGGCATCCTCCCTCTGTGCTGCAAGTGGAAGGACCAGCTTGACTGTGTATCCAAGCTGGACTTTCTGGTGTTGCAGATTTGATATATCCCGGAAGTCCAGCAAGAGGACTTGCCCAAGCCAAAGAATTCACCCCCACACTTCTCTCTCCCACTCTATCAAGAATACCACTCCCCCCACCCCTATTTTTTCCCTATTTTCCTTCTGGTTTTGTTGGGAGGAAAAGAAGGATTGCTGTGGCTAATGTTAGCCATAGTGCTGACAAGTTTCAACAGGCCTGAAAACACCAACTACAGATCAGGTAGACCTCCTCATATCTGAAGTGTGGGTCTCGCATGGGAAATGCAGTCTGCATTTCTTTGGGGATAACTCAATCTACTTTTAAATCCTTAGGAAGAATCCTTTTTGCAAATTAATCTCTCCTCCTATATTCAGTTTAAAAAAACACCACCACCAGTAATCTCCAGAAATCACCAGAAATCTCTCCTTTCTTGTACAGGATATTTCACAAATTCACAATTAAGGTGAATGTTCCCCAGGCATTTATAGTACATGATTTTTATAAACCTGTTCTCAGTTCTGTAGTTTTTGTAGTCAGCTCAGGTTAACAATTGCAGACAAACTGCAAAGCACATTCCCACCAAACAACAGTCCCTAACACAGATGCGGGTGGGGGAAACACACCAAATCCGAGTTTTTTGTTTGTTTTTTTTTTCCCCCTTTCAAAAGGCAGAATATTTGCCTTCTCTTCTTCCAGTCTCCAAATTTGGCAATTTCGTCCCAGGCACTTTTCAACTTCGCCTACTTTGAGAAGCGCCCTTCCAAGGAATTTAATGTTCTAGACGGGGAGGAATAGGGCGAGTAACGCGGGCGAAGCAAAACTCCGATGAGAACAGATAATAAAGATGAAGGGAAAAGAATGTCTGGAGCGAGCAGAGAGGGGCGCTGAATGAAGGGAGGGAGGGAAAGCTGTGGAAAAAGGTGTGGAGCGGCGGAATGCTTGGAGAGCGCTCAAGAGAAAAGGGAGTGTTGCTGGAAAGAGAAGGAATCGCTAAAGAAGGCAGCAAGGGGAAGGTGGGGGGGGGGGTTTCCAACTAATGGGTCGCCTCTGGGAAGCAGAGCGACTGCTTCGGGGTATTCTTTGTCCGGTTCTTTTTTTGCACCCCAGTTGAGACTCGAGCAACGGCTCGGAGCTGGGAGCAGAACAGAGAAACCGCGTTGCAGGAAGGCATGAAGATCGCTGGAGGTACGGAACACATGCGAGCCTAAGAAAAGGTCCTCGAGGGTGCCCGAAGGCGCATCCTACAGCTCCCTCCCTCCCTCCTTCCTTCCTTCCTTCCCCGCCAGCGCTACCTACCTGGCCAGCGAAGTTCAGGAGAACTTGCGACCGTCCGCCGCTCAGTCAGGAGCCGCTCCCGGGCAGCGGCACCTACCTCGCCACTCCCCCCCACAATGCACCGCTGCCAACTCTGAAGTCTCTCCTCGGCCGTCCGCAGCCCATTCCAAGCTAAGCCGAGGCGAGGCAAAGGCAAGGCAAAGGCAAGGCAAGCCGCCACCTCCCCAAGCCCGAAGGCCGGCTAGAACTGGAGAGTCAGGAGCGCCCCCTGCTGACTAAAGTGAGTTACGGGCGTTCCAGGGGTTCAGGTCGTCCTCAACGTACGACCACAATCGAGCCCAAAATGTAGCTTGCTAAGCGAGAGAGTTGTTAAGCGAGGTTTGCCCCGTTTTACGACCTTTCTTGCCGCAGTAACAGAGTTGGAAGGGACCTTGGAGGTCATCTAGTCCAACCCCCTGCTCACGCAGGAGACCTATTCCAGGGATTCGAACCGCCGAACTGCCGACTTTTCTGATCGACAAGCTCAGCGTCTTAGTTAAGGGAATCGTTGCAGTTGTTAAGCTGGTGACATGGTTGTTAAGTGAATTTGGGTTCCCGGTTGATTTTGCTGGTCTGAAGGTCGCAAAAGGGGAATCACATGACTCCAGGACACTGCAGCTGCCCTAAATGTGAGTCGATGATGTTGCAAGGGTCATAAGTGTGAAAAACGGTCACTTTTTTCAGTGCCATTGTAACTTTGAACGGTCACTAAGCGAACTGTGGTAATTCGAGGACTACCGGTATTCAGTCCGGCCACCGGATCTTTGAATGTGCAACCTGCACAACAGGTTTGGACAGTTTTAAGACAATTTTTAAGGGCCTGGTGGCTCAGCAGACTGATAGCATTGTGATTAACACCAGCTGTCTGCAATTACTGTAAGTTCGAATCTCACCAGGCTCAAGGTTCACTCAGCCGTCCATCCTTTTTAAGGTAGGTAAATTGAGGACCAGTTTGTGGGGGCAATAAGCTGACTTTGTATAAATGTACAAAAGTATGAAGGTTATTGCTTAACGCATTGTAAGCTGCCCTGAGTCTCCAGAGAAGGGCGGCATATAAATCAAATAAATCAAATAAATAAATAAATAAATAAAAATCCACTTCTGTAATGACCAGCCCATTTTTGTATCCGTCCTTCCTCAAAATATGAATGGGGAGAAACAGCATAGATGCAAAGACCACCTCTTCCCTTGTAGCTTCTTTATTGAGCTTTGTTCCCTCAGGATTTGGTGCTGATGGCTCATTAGGTTACCCTGATTGTCAAGATCCGGACTACCATTAAATGGCAACCAAGAGATTTAGAATGTTCTGCACTCCCCTGCTGCCATCTAGTGGCCATCGGATTTTTGTGTCCCAAATCTGGTGACCCTATTTAATGTTAATTTAACAATGGCTTTCTTCCTTGGATTTGGTTCTGACATAGGTTCCCATCACCGTAGCAATAAAACAGATATTTGCCCTGGTTTAATTGTTTTACTGTACATTTCAGAGAGTTGGATGACCATTGCAGTGCCTTTCAACTTCATAATTCTTGGATTCTATTGTATGTATTTGCATCCTAATCTTGCTCCAGAATGCCAGCATTGTAAATTGTTATGGGCTGTTTTCAGCTACATTGTCTATATTCACCCTTAGTTTTAATTTAGACTGGACTCGGGCATGGATCTGCCATACGTGCATTCAAAGTTTCCAGAAGAGACTTTTTAAAGAATAGTTTTTGCAAAGTCTGCACAGATAATCTCCAGAATTCTGTAACTTTGGTTATATATATATATATATTTGAAAATGAAAGTTTTGTATACACAACTAGCCCAATAATCTGTATGTGTGTTTGTTGGAAGAAATATCCTTCTGGGTTCAGTTCCAACTGGGGAAAAAGACACTGGAAACATGGGGGCTGCTTGGAAAGATGGTTTTAATGGTGGACAGGACCACATGCCTTGAAGATCTTGGGTGAAGAGAAAAACAAAGGGAAGAGATGCTGAGAGTGCCTGAGCGTTTGAATTTGAGCTTTTATTTATTTATTTAGTCGCATTTCTATGCCGCCCAACTCCCAAAGGACTCTATATTCTAATTGGTTGTCAGACTCCCATGGGGCCATGCAGGGGTAACTTTGTAGGTTGTGTTTTTGAGTCCCAAGTTTGGTTGACTCTTGCTGGGTGATGATGTAATAATGAAGGGGCTTTGGGCAATTCCTATTATGGCTTTGCTTGAAGGAAGTAGTTCTTTGTTATGTTGAATAGACTGGCCCAGGCCATTGACAAAGGTGACGGGGGGGGGGGTGAGTTTCTGCCTCCCTTTTAGGGGAAATATTCTGCCCTTTTAATATTTCCTAAAATAACTCATTTTCCTAGGAGAAGGGTCAGTGCTAACTTCCTACATGTTCATAGCTACTGCCAGTGGGAAGAAGGAAAGGAGAGAGGATTGGACAGGAGACTGAGATAGATAAGCAGAAGAAATGTAAGGCAGACAAACATCCCTTTGTAACTCTTCAAAGGACACAGATAAACCTCAAAGTGCTTCAAAGACCCTCTAAAAGGATGCAAATGACCAGCTGTCTGTGAGGAATATAAATCCTTCCATTCCCCACTATCCTGTCAGAGCTGAAGCAGCTTCTTGGATGAGGAGCGAAACGTCTTCAAAAGAAAAAACAAGAAAGTCCAGTTGCCTCCTGAAAAAGCACCTTTGGGACAACCATGACCTGTATGACTGAGAATCTCTACAGATTCCCTTCGTAAACTGTCTACAAATATGGATGTGACCACAGTAGGATTTTCAACCAAGGATATGGAACAGCCATGAAATGTACCAACGCTACGGCTTCATCTGCACAGCAACAGCAATGTGCTTTCCTCCCATCCTAGAGATATGAGAAAAGCAAATCGGTGGAAGAAAAGCTTCCCCCACAGTTTTTTCTTTCACCGTGACTTAGCAACAAGGCCAGGATTGCTGCTGCTCTTATAGAAAGTAATGTGGGTTGCTTTCAGGCAGCAACTGGCTCCCCTCTGGACTAGGAAAAAAGGCATCTCGATGTGTGGCGAGTGAGTCCCCCATCTGGTCCCAAACCAGGAGACTTCACTGGAGCCAGTTTGGAGTTTCCCCAAGTCTTCTTTGATTAAGAAGCCATGAAACGTGTATGGGGCAGTGGTGGGTTGCTACCAGTTCGCCCTGGTTTGGGCGAATCAGTAGTAGCAGCGGCGGGAGGCTCCACCCACCTGCTGGGATGTCATCAAATAACTTCTGTGTGAGCGAACCATTAGCAGAGGTAAGTGAAACCCACCACTGGTGTAGGGTTATATCTCTGGGCTGGATTCAGTGGGACTTCTGTTCCAATTGTAGGAAGTTAGCACCCACCCCTTTCCTGGAAGAATGAAATATTTTAGGAAATATTAAAAAGGCAGAATATTACATTTCCCTGGATGAGAAATGGAGAAACATGTTTTAAAGACAAAGCAGCTTCCTGCCTCCTCCCCACACACCTTTGTTAATGGGCCATAATCTGCAACACAATAGCAACAGAAACTAACACAATGGGATCCATCTAGGACAGAAACTCACCACATGGCACCTGGGAAGATTACATCAGCAAGCAAGGCTAGCTAAGACCCCCAACCCCTGGGAGTCTGACAACCAATCAGGATACTCTTTCTGGGCCCCAGGAAGTTCAAAGCCAGAGAAAGCATAAAACATGGGGACTCGCTGTATCTTGGCCCCTTTTTCTGTTCAGGAACTCAAACCATGTGATCCTGTCCACCATTAAACCATCTTTCCAAGCAGTCTCCATGTTTCCAGTGTCTTTTTCCCCACTTGGAGCAGAACCCAGAAGGATATTTCTTCCAACACAATTAAATTGTCTGTAGGATGACATTGGGGAGGGGAGAGAACACATGGAATTAAAATGAATTGCTGTCTGGTTGTGTAAAATGGAGGAGATACAACAAATGAAGTGCCACTGCATGTCCAAACAGAAAAAGGTAGCCGCATTACACTGAAGTTGTAAAGACTACTGCATGTGTGCTACAATATTTAATTACATAGTTACCTGAGGCTCTTGCTTAGGGAAGGAACTGCATCCAAAGTATGTTTAAAGTATTTGGAATATTTCAAAGGCTCAGAAGTGACATATTTTTCACTGAAGGCAATACAGTACAACAAGAAAATATAATACTTTTGTTTTCAATTTCCCCTGAAGCTCTTGTTTCTTGGGTCATTGATGGACATTCCATAGAGGAAAAACAATAGAGGATAATAAAGAAATGGCCATGGAATGCAAGGAGAAGAAAGAAAATCCAACCTTCTGCCCCCAACCACCCAGATCTCAATAAGGCTCTGCATTTACTACCCAATGGATGGAATTTCCACTCAGGAAATCAAGGATCAAGCAATGGACTGCAACAGAAATGAGAAAATATTGGTAGATTGCAAAAAAGCTCAAGCAGGTAAGCCACAATTGTTTCTGGTGCAGAAAATAATTTTTGCAATGAGTTTGGAAAGTTGTACTAAACTTTTACCAAATCCAATCTAGAGTTCTAAAGAAATAGGATCATTCCCTTTTCATCAATGGTAAGACTCAGGGAAGTTCAATTTTTCTGCTTCTAGTCCCTACGAAATCAGCATCCCTAGTTTTGCCAATTGGAAAATATTTATTTATTAACTTTGATTTTTGTATAAGCTTTTAGAATTGCCAGTCTTCAGAGTTCTATCCAACTATCATTTCTTTTACATTTTCCAGGTAGAATTTCTGCCACCACCGCAAATGTATTTTGCATAGTTACTTCACACCTGAATGCACATGCTTGTAATTATTGCCCATTTCAATCTGGCTCTCCAGATTGTCTCACCTCCTGTACCAGGAAATGTCTCCTGTTTCTCTTTCCCCTGATCTGGGCAGTCACAGTGACAGCACGATGATCTTATCACTCAATGTCCACTCTTAAAATGTGTGGTAAAACTGCCCCCAAGCAGCCTTTCAAGGTTTCCTTCTGAAGAGCCCTTTCTTAGTGTAAGGCCACTGGGCCACGCAAGGGCTCTCTATGATGGGTTGGGGGTAGCCAAGTAATGTTAGTTTAGACAGCCAACCTTTCCATGATGTGTTTGTTTTTCTGCTTCTCCCACCTGGCTTTATTGGCATTAGGGAAGAAAGGGTGTCTCAACCAGGTCAAGACAAGCATATTCATGATTATAGCAAAATCAACTGATTTGGGAATATGCCAGTTGACGCTTTTCCCTCAAGCTCTTCTGCTGCTTAGGAGAGGTGAGGTAAGAATAATGCTTACTTATCACTACCCTAAATCACCTGGCTTCCCTGGTCACCTGCTCCCAATACAATGTAACAGCTTTCCTGTCTTGGATCCTTTTTTGGCTGGGTCAGACTAAAATTTTACCATTGCTTTCCTGATGTTGTTTTTCTCACACTAGGGCTGGAAAAGACTCCGCAAACAAGCATAAAAACAGTGGACCGAGGGCACCCATGAAGTGTACTGAAGTTGTACTGCTGTCAAGAGCATTTCGGTGCATAGTTGGAAAATAAGCACGGTGGGCACCAGGGGTTACCACAGTACTCCGGAGGGACCTGTAACTTGCAGCTACTCCTTCAGTCATGGTTCCTGCAGGGGGAAGCCATGGCCAAGAATCCCTTGACCCAGCTATGGTGGTATACCAGGTGCAACCCTTTCTGGAGAAAAAATGGCTCTGGCAACAGTAACTCATAACTTTATCATCTCTAGACTGGATGTGTTTTATCTGCAACTGTCCTTGAAGACTACCTAGCAATTACAACTGGTGTAGGATGCCTCCTGCACAAGCAAGAATAACTCAGCAATATATCATCGGTACTCAGTGGCACCTCAAGGGTGTATATGGCACCCCAGGCCACATTAGTTGATGGTGCCACCTCCCACTCATGGGGTATTTGCATTTTTAGAATGATTTGGAAGGAAGGGTTGCAACCCTATGCTTTGGTGCCTAACAGCTTGGTTGTTAAATAAAGCAGTCACTAATGAAACCGTGTTTATAACTTTAGATTTCTTTGACTTCAGTTGAATACTTCATTTGGCCAATTAGACCATTGTGATTAGACACACAGGAAATTTGTCTGTGGTACAGAAGCTCTCTGTGTGCATGCAAAGCAACATAATAATAATACCGTAACAACAACAATAACAATAATAATAGCATTTTTGAATGTTCAGTTGACTGAGTTTCATGTTTAATGAATAAAGTATATAATAATAAAAATAATACCACCAATAAAAGGGAAGAAAGGAAAGAAGATAATAAGGAGAAATAATATTACACACAAGATAATACACACTGCATGGCTATAAATCAGGGGTATCAAACTGGTGGCCATGCCCTCCCCGCCCCAGCTCTGTGAAGGAGAAAATCATCATGATACGTCACGTGATGGCAATGTGACGCTGCGAGTTTGACACCTGTGCTATACATAGAGATTAGGCCCATGATGGCGAACCTATGGCACGCGTGCCGGAAGTGGCACACAGAGCCATTTTTCTGGGCATGCGAGCTGTCACCCAAGTCCCCTGCAGCTGTGCATGCGCACGTGCCCCAGCTGGTGTTCGGGCCTCTGGTGCGCATGTCTGCAATTCAGGAGACCCAGCTGGTCTTCAGAGCTTTCCTGCGCATGCATGCGCATTTGTGCATGTGTGCGAGAGTACTGGTGTGCAGTGTGCGCATGCACAGATGGCATTCATGCACATGAATAGCATGCACATGTACAGATTGTGCGATTGTGCGCTCAGCGCATGGTGTGAGGCATGTGCAAAAGCTGTGTGCATGCGCAGATGGTGTGGTTGCACATGTAGTGCCCAGTGGGAGCACGTGTGAAAGTTGTGCACGTGCACAGATGGTGTGGTTACGCGGACAGCACATGGGGAAGGAGCCGCGCATTAGCACAGATGGCACACGTGCGCGCAAAGCACATACCTGTTCAGCACTCGGTGAGTAAGGGGTTCGCCATCATCGCATTAGGCAATACTGTGAAATTAGTAGAGCGATGGCACAAGAGAAAAAACTGTCCCTGTGTCTACCGTAGTTGTTTTGATAGACAATGCCCTATAGCGCTGTCCCGAGTAAAGGAGTTGAAACATTTTATGTCCAGGATGTGAGGGGTTTGCAGTCCTCTTCTCAGTCCTCTTTCTGACCCTCACAATATACAGGAAGACGGTTGCAATTGTTTTTTTTTTCTGCAGTCTTAACTATCCATCTGAGTCTGTACCTGTCCTGTTTGGTTGCTGTACCGACAAGTAGACAGTTAAACAAGTACGAATAACAGATGTAATAATTCCTCCGTAAAACGGTATCCACAGCTGTTGTGCTTTGCTTTAGAGATCTGCATAGGTTGTAAATGGAAGGATTTGTTGCAAGGGTTTGTTTTTTTTCCACCGTCGTAACTGGGAACAGTCACTACACATGAGGCTGTTTCTAAATGAGGGCTACGATACCTGTGGTTGTTAAATGAGAATGATTTGTATTACAGCCTGGGCCTATTTGATGTAGTGGTTAAAGCACCAGGCTAGAAACCAGGCGACTGTGATTCTAATCTTGCCTTAGACAGAAGGTCAGGCGAGTGACTTTGGGCCAATCCTCCCCTCTTAGTCTAAGAAGCAGGGAAGGGCAAACCCCTTCTGAAGTCTTGTCAAGAAAGCTGCAGGGACTTGTCCAGGCAATCACCAGGAGTCAACCCTGGCTCGAAGGCATTGAAAAACAAAACAAAATAAACAACCCTCTTACAGCACTTCATACATTGGTAGGTTTGAAAGATACTACAGACTATAGCAAATATTGCCTCAGTGGAAGGGGTGTTTTGGCCTCTGTGGAGGATTTGATGAACTGCTGGGTTTACCCCACAAAAAACGTGTTGTGTCATCTAAAATAGGCAACAGTGCTCGAGGGGACACAACACAGAAAAGCGGATATCTGAAATGGGGCAGAAAATCATGCCTCAAGGTAACATTACTGGTAGATGAAGGATAAACAGATATTATCTGTTTCTGCCCTCCAGAAGTAGTTGCCTGCCTGATCTGGTGACAGGTCACCAGTCAGCATGGATGAGCCTTTACTCTGAAGTTGTGACCTTCATCTTGCAGTTAAATTGTTACACTAGTTCTGCAAGAAAGGGCAGTGTAAGTGTGAATCAGGACCATGTACTCACCATAATGGAATGCAGGAAGGTAAAGTGATTTATGTCATCCTTGAAGCTGGCCAACTGGAACTGACCATGATTAAGAGCTATTATAGTTCCAGGTTCTACTCTATCACTTATAAAATCTTTTTGGGCAAGTTAGATCTAGTGATTAAGGCACTCAATGTTGTGGCCCGTACGCGGCCTGTGCGGCTGGTGGCTGATTCGGACAACGAGGAGGCTGGTGTGGTGCTGCGCCAGCAGCCTGTGCAGCTGGCACTTGAGTTGGACAATGAGGAGGCTGGAGAAGATGTGGTGCCAGAGGCAGGGATTCAACCAGGGCCTTCAGAACCTCCAGAAGCTCCCTTAAGTGAAGAGGACGAAGAGGAGGAGCCTCTTCTCGATGCACGGGTGCACAGAGCAGGAGTGGCTCCTCAGGAGGAGGTCTCCTCGAGAGTAAGGCTTGGGGCTAATTGGCAACTCCCTTAGCCTATTTAAGGAGGAACGCCGACTGAAGCAATTTGCAGGGAACAACTGTTCACTCTCCTTCGTGCCTTGATCTTAGTTCTCTGCAAATTGCTTCTGGGCTTTCTGCCAACCATAGTAAGATTAAGATTATTCTTTGGATTCTTGCAGGCTGTTAAGAAAGTTAATTAACAGCCTTCGTTTGAAAAAAAACCCTGATTTTATTTTAGTAAACTAAGGTTTGTATGGACTTTGTGTGTGCTGCGTTCTTTGGAGTCCGTAGCTGGGGCAGAACACTCGGTTAGAAAGGAGGAGACCATGCGTTCAAGTTCCACGTTAGACATGGAAGCCAATTTGGTTATTTTGGGCCAGTTACTCTCTTTCAGCCCAACTCATCTCACAGGGTTGCTATTGTGAAGAAAATAAGTGAAGGAAGGTGTGTTGGATGTTTGCCCTCTTGAGTCACTTACAAAAATAATAAAGCTGGGATACGAGTAGATGAATGAATAAATAAAATATCACAAAGATGAGGGAAATTAAAATATATAGAGGTAGTCCTCAGCTTAAGACCACAATTGAGCCCAAAATTTATGTTGCTAAGAGAGACGTTTAAGTGAGTTTTGCCCCATTTTATGATTTTTCTGGCTACAGTTGTTAAGCAAACCACTGCAATTAGTAAGTTAGTTCCACGGTTGTTAAGTGAATCTGGCTTCCCCACTGACTTTGCTTGACAGAAGGTTGCAAAAGGTGATCGCATGACTCCGGGATGCTGCAACTGTCATAAATATGAACCAGTTTTCAAGCATCTGAATGTAAATCACATGAGGATGCTGTGACAGTCATAAGTGTGAAAAATGGTCATAAATCACTTTTTTCAGCGCCGTTGTAACTTCAAACTGTCACTAAATGACAGGTAGTCGATGACTACCTGTAGTATCATCACAATAGTCTTCCTTTGTTGTCAAGCTTGTGTAAGGTACTAGCAAAACAAACAAACAAACAAAAAAAACCCCTACACATTTTAAAATATGGTGATTGAGGTTAGCCAAATCTCCCTTTTCATAAAGCAGGTTCCATTCTGGTTTGCACACTGCAGAGAAAGGGGTGAGAAACCTTTTATCTCATCTATTTCATTTTTCTTAAAAATAACCCACCTTGCTGAAAAATGTTTGCTTCTTTTAAAAAATACTTTTTTAAAAAAGTGGGGGGGGGAGGGAAGGAAGAGCAAATAGCAATTTAAGGAATTTAAAACATTTTAGCTCATGGAAAACATTGGTCTCATGTGCAAAGCTTGAGAAATGCTGTTCTTCATCCGGAACCTCAATCTGCCGTTTGTTGTGAAAACATCCCCTTTCTGTTTGAGATGTGATATCTGAATGGATATCGCCTCCTGATTTCTTAAGATTTGAAAGCGCGCTCTGGAGATTCCGGTCAGCAGAGTCATAGAAAGAGGAAGAAGGGCTTTTAGGACCTTTTATTGATGCCAGTTGCAACACCAAGGAAGCCAGGAAGCCATGTGAAAGTTTAAAAAAAAAAAAAAGGGGGGGGGGGGGGGGAAAAAAAAGACAAGCCTAATCAAAAACTTCCAGCTGATTGTGCTTGATTGGCAGAAGCTCCTTATACACATTCTGCCTGTGAAAGTCTAATTCCATATAGGATCTGGTAAATAGTGCAAAGCATCAATTTTACAAAGGGCAGTTACAGTATATAAGAATGGGAAGCAGTCTGGCTAGGTAGTGCGGATAAATCTTCACTCACATCTCCTTCAGTCTGAGTTCCTGATCCCAATAAGATTAGATTGTAGGACTATATATGACTCTACTTTACAGCCCTACAATCTAATCTTATTGCAATTGGCTCCTCCCACTGATTTGGCCCCTAAACATCCCCCCCTAACACCCTGCAAGCAGATGGTTATCTATTATTTTAGATTGGGGAACTTGCCCTAAGTCTAAGGTTTAATAAAAGCTGACGTACCAAAACTGCTGTTCTGAGATTCAGCTGCCTAGATATAGGACTGTGAGCTAGACTGAAATCTCAGTTCAACAGACCTCCATTTAAAGAACCGCATTTGGATACACTCTGGAAATCATACTTAATTGGCTTTATTGTATTTTTATTGCCAGAGCTGGAGCAAGGCCCTTATGGGTTTGTCTTTTTTAACAAACTGTCTGGTTTGAGACATCATAAGCAGTGGTGGGTTCCTCCCGGTTCGGCCCGGTTCGCGAGAGCCGGTAGCGGTGACGATATGACGTCACCGAACCGATTCTCTGTCTTCGGGAGCTGGGCCCTCTCGCCCACCCCTGCGTTATTCTGATCTTATATTTCTTCTTTTTTTGCCCAGCTGAGAGGTGCGGCAGAGCGGATTGCCGCACCTCAGCTGGGCAGATTCACAA